AATATGTGTGATAATACCCGTGTTAAGGAGGATTGTTCTGCCCTCTGGAAATGTGGTTAACTATAAACCGTCGCAAAGTCCCGAAGACTTCTACAGAATATATAATAATCCCTTCAGTCTGAGATCTTGACCCTTGTCGCATATTATGTCACAGGATGATATTGCAATGTTGCCTGAACCTGACGGCCCTAAAGCTAAAATTACTCCGCAACCTGCCTGGAAGCTTCACCTCTACTAAAAAATGCACAAAAAATAGCATTAAATTTATTCGAACAATTTACTTATCGACTGCTACAGCTTCTGTTTCTCGTCATAATACAATTAACTTTACGGTTAACGATGGTTTATTGGTTCTGTTGATGGACTGACACGACCCCCTCTGTGGTCTAGTGGTCAGAGTTCGATTCCCGGGGCTACCAGATTTTCTGAGAAGTAGTGGGTCTGGAAAGGGGTCCACAAAGCCTTGTGATGATAATAAGGAACTATTTCAAGGGAATAGCGGCTCCGGTCTAGAAAACCGAAATTAACGGCCGTGGGGATTCGTTGCGCTGACCACGCGAAATAATCTATCCGCAAAATTTGGCACTAACTTCGCCGACAAGCGGGTTTCGCTCGGTCGGTATAGTTCGCTTGCGGACTAAAATCACGGAGTTTTTTTGACGGATTGCCGTGAATTATTTCAAGCTTTGTCTAACCTGACGTACCGCTTACACTACAGGAAAATACAAGACCGAAGAATATGCTTCAGTGGAGTATACATTCTTTTCGAATCCTTTCTTTGTTTTTTTATGTATTACATTAATATTCGCTTGTTATGTTACTGTTCTTCACTGTCATGTTAGGGACACGCGGTAGCGTAGTTGGTTGAGGCAATATGTTATAAACCTCAAGGTCGCGCGTTCGAGCCCCGATGAAGTGGATTTTTCAATTGACCGAATCCTTCCTGCGGCACTATGGCCCTGGAGTCGACTCAGCCTTTAACAGAAATGACCTCCAGGAATCTTCCTGGAGGGTAAAGGTCGGCTGGCGCGTAAGGCTGACAACCTCACCGCCATCTGTGCCGATTGTTTAGATAATGTGGGACCCTCAACGTCTCACAACCCTATGGGCCTCCATGGCCTGTTACAGGGATAGCTTTCACCGTACTGACATGTTATACCCATTTATTCACTGAATAACTTAACGTAATATGATAGTGAATTTCCAAAAAAAAGAAAGAAAGAAAGAAGGAAAGAAAGAAGAAGAAGAAGAAGAAGAAGAAGAAGAAAGAAAAAGTATTAATTATTTTCTCTCCCATTCTCGTTACGTGGCCCCTCACCTCTCATCCTCCGTCTGCCATCGTCATCTGAAACATAATCCCGACTAATACATAATTGTGTAAGAGCTGAGGTTTTCACGGGATATGGCGCCATGTAGATCTTGTGTGAACGGACGTTTCGCGGGAAAGTATCGCCTTAATCTTCAGGCTATAAGTCTGCAGCCACCTGCTCAAACTGGTTCCTCGCTCATGGATTTTCTACACTGAAGATGGAAGCGATACGTTCTCCGAAATGTCGGTTCACACAGGATCTACACGGCGCCACATCCCAGAAGACGGAATTCTTCTTAATACACAATTAGTAAATTTTCTCCCGCGGAAAGGATGGTGACCTTGCATCTTATCACGAGCGCGTATAGAGGCCGTGGTGGTAAATATTGCATTCTGGGTAGATTCTAAAGAGTTCTGACGACGGTATGTAACACTCGGAAGTGACGGGTTTTCGGACTCTATCAATCGTCTGGTATTCTAAAAACAAAAAAGGAAAAGCGTTTCGGAAACTAGACCTGTTTCCGTCCTCAGGTAAGGGGTGGGAGACGCCTACTCTGTTGGGTCCATTACCTCTTTCGAAGGGACCCAGTTGTGTAGGTGTCTTCCACCTCTCACCTGAGGACGGAAAGAGATCCATTTTCCGAAATGCTGTGTTATTTTTATTTTTAGAATACCACAAGATGGACAGAGTCCAAAAACACAGTGATTCTGACTCACACTCTAGACTTCGGTAGTTGATGGAGGTGAGTGATCAGCGTCAAGCTGAGCCGGTTATATACCAGGAATCCATTTTATTAAAGACCGGATGGGCACCATAACCGGTTCGAAGTCTCGGTGAAGAGAAAATGCGGTGCGTCTGCCGGAGGCTCGACTTCAACTGTTCACCTTGCCACTGTCACTTCACTGACTCAGCTATCCCGACCCGTAGAAGAAAGTTATAATTGATGTAGTTTTCCACCCGTTTAAAGCATTGCAAGAATGCAATGCTTGAAACACGAACAGTTAAATATGAGAGATACAAAAGAGGATTTTTTTTTATAATTTATATTGTGATTTTGCTCAGTTTAGGCATGGACGTAATGAGTTTATGTAGCGGTGATATTCGTGAGGCGTTTGGTTCGAACCTCGGTCGGTACACAGGCTATCATCAGTGAACTTCTCGTGCTTTTCCTTAGTCAATCCAGGCAAGTAGCAGGACCGTACTTCGATTTGGTCACAACCGCTTACTTCCAAATCCTTATCCATTCATTATTTTTGTATCATCCTCCAGTCGACATTACTGATAGCATCATGAATTAACCCTCCCTCCAAAATAAAATGAGCACTACTAATATCTATGAGAATAATAACGAATAATGAGAATAATAATAACCTACCTCCCGAAACGTCCTGCATGTTAAACATGTCCCAGAAAATGAACACTACTAATGCCTATGAAAATAATAACGACAGAATACTTGACAGGGTCTGTAAACCTACCTCCCGAAACGTCCTGTATGTTAAACATGTCCCACAAAATGAACACTGTCCAATGTAATGCCCGCGAAATGGATCTTCTATGGTCACAAGCGTTTCAAGAATTGTTTGCGGGACCTATTATAGGCAGCCTAATTTTCATGGACGGTCTCAAGCCACCGTATATCGACAGATTATAAATAATTGTAAAGTAAGTCTAGGAGAGAAACCCCCTCCTTGTTTCAATGTCATCATATCAAAACGCAAAATTAAATGTTACATTCCTCTCCTTTGGTGATCTTTACGTTCAGACACAATATAGGAGATTTCCTGAATGTGTTTATTATAATTTATTGATTTATTAATATATTTTATTATTTTCCCCATTAATTTTTATATTGTTAACAATTTGTTCATTTTAAATTATAATTTTTCGTACCCTATGCTGGATGATTTTTAGTTTCTGTATGTTCACATTATAAATTGTAATTAATATGCTTTCATTTCTGAAGAAGTTAGAATGTCCTTTGGACATACTGTACATCTTTCAACGTGAAAAGCGTCTATCGCACTCTTTTTTTTCTAATTTTACTCTCAGGCACTTACAGAAACTTTATTGTAAAATATTTTTTTCCTGCTGTCTATACAATCTATACAATCGAATAGTACTTTCACAAAGAATTACAGATCTGCATAGATAAATATTTTATATGACAAACCAAACAGAAGATTTACAAATGAAACTTGCCTTCTGCCTGAACAGCTTTCGATTTATAGCTCTAAATTTAGGAAATATCGAGAAATACAGTTTTATGGCGATATGATCCCATTTGAATTTCCTATTCGTTTTTCCTTTGTTCTACGCCGTTCTAATTAAGTAACATTACTTCGTAATGAAAACAGCGGTCAGATGCTTATATGTGAAAATTACTGTAATTTGGGATATCCGATATTTACCGACGTTATGGAAGGATGTTATGCCTCCTTCTTTACAGTAGACGTCAAAATGTGCAAAAGTGTTACGAATTGACAGGTGCTCGGAGCAAACCTAAAGAACGAGGAGAAAGAGTGAAATAATGCGAGACCCTTTTAAGGGCCATTTTCCGAGAGTAGAGAAGCTTGGAGAAACAACTGCTTTGAGAGAACAAAATGGTGGCACACGGAGTCAGGTGTGAAAATGGAACCAGGGAACGGGGGCACTACACGGCCTGTTTCAACGGCGGAATAGATGGGAGAAAAGACAGCAAAATAGCAGGGGTTGATAGCAAGAGTAGGGTACTGAAACTGTTACGTCTGACGGTCAGTCACTCAGTCCGTGTTGGTTTCGAGCTCCATCCGGTGACCACGAGCAGAGTATAGTTTCGGCCAAAAGAAATGATAGCAGCTAACCTACAGTGACAGATAGCCATTCTCTCCACACTTGGCTTCATATTCTCTACCTTGTAGACGGAGGCTTCACTTTCCTTCGACACGCCGGTTAACATCTACCGGACTACACGGCATCAAATCCATGAAGATAGTAGTCTTCATCGCAGTTAGAACCTCAACTTAAGAAATTATATTTCCTTGATGATTTCACTTTCACTTTTACGGCGATTCGTTGTTAATGTGGATCATGTTTCAGGGTAGAGGAGCACATAGCCTTTTTCTTCACGGTGCCATCACCCAGAGACATAATCCAACACAGAAATGGACGATTGCCCAAGTTGTCTAAGCGAAATATAGCTGGCACACAGCTTATTACACGTATAGTGTTAGTAGTTGAAGCTGGCACGAGTGAATGTGTTAACACTTATTTCAGTTTATTCATACTGCAGAAATTCATGATTCGTTAGACTTCAGAATTACCGCAGAATATTTTACACATAAAAGCGTGTAGCGAACATGTAATGAAGCAGTTACATAATAAAGACACCTTACCCTAAAATTCTAGGTTTGTGGATCGCAGACCGTCCACAACGTTCTCCTGCGCACAAAGCAACTAAAATGCTAAATCAGATATGATAATGGGAAGTATTCCAAAATCTCTAAGCCAAAATGGCGGCGGGGTTGTAGGGGAGAGTTGTACTATAACATGGTTTGCAAGTATGATTCCTGTAGATCACGGTATTTTGGGTTTAGTGGAGGGGATGTTTACAAATAACGCATGCGCAAGTCTTTTCTATGTGTTGTCTAGATGTTGTTGGAAGGAGAAAAGTGAGGGCTGATTTCAGTATTTGTTTTTTTCTTCTTTTACCTGGCAAAGTGCTGAAATAAAAAGCCGAGAAGGAACTTTGACGGTACTTGCTGTCGTCGGTAAAGCCATGGATACGGTGGCCAAGATCCTTTGGTGGCCATTCAAATCGGTGATTTCTTCTACTTTCCGTCTCTGATATGTCTTCTTTTTAGTATAATTTTAAGAGAAAGATATTAGAAGAGGATAGAAACAAAATATAAAATCATATAAAAAGATAGCAATGACTCCTTGAGGTGATAGCTATAAAAGAATTAGTTGTTAGCAAAACCAAACCTCGGCAAGTTGATCCACCACATTTCTTCAGCTCTAAATGCGTCAGTTGATACAGAAACAAGGCGATGAAGTAAGCAGGGATATGCAAGAATAGCGGCTTCAAACGAGATGGCTTATTCTTCAGGACATTTTGTTTAACGCAATGTCTCAAACCCACTCCGTGCGCTTTTCAACTCCAGAGTTTACGTTCGTTTTAAAATTACTTGGAGAGAAGACGCAGCGGCCAAAACTGAAGTTCAGACAGAAAATATTAAACCAGCGACTTTCTTATTGAATGTTGCATTAAGATCATTTGCATGGATCAGAACCTTTCTCCAGAAACTGGCAGTATTTCAGCTAATCAACAATTCCTGCTCTTTTTAAAACCAAAAATTTCGTTACCGTGTTAAAAGAATCCCGTTAAAAAGCCATAACATAGCCATATGAATCCAATCCATATCGACATACCACATTTCTTTACAAATCATTTTAATATTATCTTCCCACTTACATCAAGTTATCCCAAGTGGTATTTTTTTCTCTCTTAGGCTTCCAGCTTACAATTTTGTATGCATTCCCCATCTTTCCAATTGGTGCTACATTTTCCGCCGATCTCGTCCCCTGGACTGTAGCTGCGGTGTTTATAAACTAAATTCATATACAGTGTCTGGAGGGGTTCAGACTATCAGTAGCAAGGAGTTACATCACTTTACGATACAGTTACCTCGAGTGAACAACTCCGCGAATTGCCAATCAAACTATGATAATACGCAGGTCTCTAACTGGGCGGTTTTCAACTTGTCTTCCTTTCCATTTAAATAACGCTGATGTACTTAGAAATGATCGAATCGTGACTGTGTATTCTATGAGGATCAATTCGATCCTACTGTACTGATGAACAGTATATTACGAGTATAGTATGTTAAAACCGCAATAAAAGTCACAATAATTCCACAAGGAGAGTTTAAGCTGTGTAATTATCGCTCTAAAGTGCATTCGACTGAGAGCAAAAATTAGTAAAACAGCGCGGATTTCAGTGGACTACGTGGATCCATAAGGTGAAAGGTAAAGCTGTCCTTGTGCTTCACTAATTAAGCACTACGCCATGAAGGCGTATGGGGGAGTGGATGTATAGATCCAACATTTTCTTGACCTCGACACTAGTTGGACGTGAGTGGTCAGCTTCACGCCCCGGTCGCTTTATCCCCGGGGAAAGAGCCCCCGGCACCCATTGGATAGGAGGTTGGGTGAACCCAAGAGCCGGTCTGGATGATGTGGAGAAAATTCTTCACCCTACCGTGACTCGAACTCCGGCCTCTTGGTCGTCTAGCCCGTAGCTAGTCGCTATACCGACTACGCTATCCCGGCTCACCCGTAAATCCATAAACCTATACAAATTTCAGGTGTTTCCTTCTGGGTTAAAATGTAATGTACTGGAGAAAACGGTTTCAAGAACTAACGTAATGGAGCAGAGTGTTTCATGAGAAACCGCCAGTCGCTCAGCTTTGCAAGAATTTCCCAACTTTTGTGGAACCCGAAGGTTCATTATCATGTTCACAACAGCCTTCCAAAACACTTCTTGATTTTAAAATCCGAGTTGCATTAAACACGGTTTTTGTTTGATGAAAGTTAGGGGATCGCTAAAGCGGCCTCCGTAGTCTAGAGGTAACGTTCCCACGTCATGTATCGTGGTACGCGGGTTCAAATACCCGGCGGAGATCGTTGAATTTTTAATGGCGGAAAAATTCAGGGAACAAGTCCTCCGGGAGGGACTTTAAGCTGTGTGTCCCGTGTCGTAACTTTACGGCACGTAAAAGAACCTCATATCCCCAAAGGGGATCACTGAGCCAAATTCCAGGACGTTTCCCGCCCAACAATAGTCTCTAAGGCCTTTGATAGATGGGGGAAGCATTATAGACACCGCTAAGCAAGTGGCCGAACTCGCTTGCTCGGCAGGACTGATGGTACGCACCATTTATCGGTAGGGTAAAGAGACTGGTAGAATATCATAGAGGGAAGCACAATAGATCAAACTGGTCGCGGTGCATGGGGAAACCCACCCTCTCTAACTAACTAAACTAAAGTTAGGGGATCGCTATGGACAGACGATACGAATCTCATATGAACGTGAAATATCATATCCTGTTGGTAATAAACACTATAAAGAAAGAAAATCAAGTGCTACGTATTCTGCATACACATTAAGTTGTTTGTGTTAGATGATTTATATGCAGCTGCGGGTATTCGCCTGTCAGAAATCTTCATGCGATGGTTTGCACTCAACTGAATCATTAGAAGACAAAGAAATATGACTGATGATTCGTCTGGTGTTTGAATCGGTCATTAGCATAAGCCGCATGAAACCAGTTAACCGTCGTAGCAAATACAAAGTGAATTATCTTAAAACTCAAATTTCATTCAGGGTCCCTTTTTTACTTTTCTTCGAAGAAAGTCACGTAAGGTGGATGATATTATTTGAAGCTTCCAGATTTCTTCAAACATTCTGTGTAAATTTTGATCTGTTGTAGATGACGAAATTTTTGCAAATGTTATGACCATTTCATGTAAATATTTTTTTATCTGCAAAATGACAGCTGCACAAAATCTTTCCAAAATTTGTTCATAGTTCTCTTACTCACATGTTTGTTTCATATTCTTCGAACTGCCTGTAGTCTCGTCACACAGTAGCTTGGTTTGTGCATATTCCAAAATCGCAACCCATAATACAAATTTAATATTTTCAAATCGGCGTGTAAAAAATATTACAACATTCCACTAAAATTTGTATAATGTATACTTCCGAGATAAAGACAGGGTGTCTTTTCTTCAGGCATTTCCCAATAAATATTTTATATTATACAAAATATAGTGGATTTAAATAAGTAAATTAAGCATTCGGTTTGCAATGAGTTAGTGAATTCTACTTCCACTACTCAAAATAATCATTAATTACACTTTCAATACCGAAATATTTTGGAAATGGAAGAATGTTTACCCTCACTTTATTATGCGGGACAGATATTTGCGGTTTTGATGGTAACCAAAACCGCCCGGTATGTCCTTGAGTCTTCTCGTTCGAAGCAACACTGCAACACGCGATCAGGTGTGTTATCCCATTGGTCCGGTTGCATTCACTGCTTCACTCCACAGACCAAACCTTAACTCAGATTTTGAAAACAACCACGTGGAAATATGTATACTGTCTCGCTCTGCCTCCTCCCGCCCCACCATATAACTGGTCCAAAGACCCCTGCCTCGGCCCCTCACTGTCCCTCACTGTCCCTCACTGCCCTTGGTCCTGCAGCTACACACGACACCTAATTGGTTCAAGCGGAAGTAAAATATTTTACATTAGAAACCATCGAAGGTAATTTTCTTCTGGTAAAATAGTACCGGAAACATTGACTGAAAGCTGAAAGGTATCCCTGATAATTAAACGTGATTCAGAGAACGAGCCATTTCTTGAACAGTCTTATTTTCTGGGATGTAATGCGGTGCAGTGCGATAGAAGTCCACCGACGTTTCGGAGGAATGTATTGTCTCTACTTTCAGGTTCGAAAAGGAACACAGGTAAGAAAGCGGCAAGAGGCAGGCTTTAATGTCCGCCTGATTTTTACTGGTTTCTTTTTTGTTTAATATTCAATCCTGAAGATGGAGGCGATACGTTTCTCTGAAACGTCGGTGGACTATATGGGGCTATGAAAAGTTACATTTCCTTGGCTGTATCATCCTGTAGTCAAGCTTTTTGGGGGATCATATCGCCTCTTTCTTCAGGCTCAATAGTTTGCATCCTGTTGTGTGTTGTTGTGTAGACGGCATATTCTTGTATGTTTTATATATTTCTTCAGGGATGAAGAGCAAATCAAGTGAGATTCCATCACGAAACAGACAACAAAGAGAGAAATATATATATATATATTCCTCCGAAATGTCGGTCGATTTTCATCGGATTTCATGTGTTAAATGTCAGAGGACATCATTTTTCATAGCCACTGTTCTGAGAATATCAAATTCGCATAATTTAATTCCTTCTCTACCATTCGCCCTAAGCCACTGTTTAGAGAGGTTTCCGGATCCAATACTCGCCCCCCCCCCCTCCAGTAATGTTTGTGATAAGATCTGTTAGAAGAAATGTATTTCGTAAGGGATAGGGAAAATTGTATCTAAACACTAATGTTTCTGTGACAGACCCGACAAAACTATATTTCCTTCACGGATTTACTAAACTACTCGTCTCCTGAAATAAGATTCTAGGCACGTGATCTAACCGCTGGTAGATCTTGAAGGGTTTCAAGCTCTCTTATATTAAACAGTGAATGAACCCTCACTTTTCGTAACACAACCGAAGACCCAGCCGTACGGCTCTTGCAGCGATAATGAAATTTCTATTCGGAAGGTACGCATTTAAGATGTCCTGTGCCACTGCCTGTCCTCACTGAAGTTTCATATTGTTTTGCTGTCTGATATTCCGGGATATAACACAGGAAGAAACCACGATCATACTCTTCCAAATCCACATGTACGTATTAATCACAGGTTTTTCTTTGAAGTTAATTATTTCTAGCGGGCCCAACAGGGTAGGTGTCTCATACAAATCACCTGAGAAAGGAAACAGATCCACTTTCCGAAACGATTTTTTTATGAAACACCAGAAGATGGACAAAGTCCAAAAACGCAGTAATCCTGGCCATTCTTGCATGTCATTAGGTACATACATCGCCTGAAGCTGAACCCCAGCATGAAATAACCTAAGAACCAATCAGTGTTTGGCTGTAAGCACTTCAGAAGACACAACGCAGCCATCTTAGGCATCTAATTTTAGCTACTATAAATCTTCTGTGTTGGTTGAGACACTATGCTACAATCCGGAATGTCGCGGGATCGAATCCAGATGAGGTCATGGGATTTTTTTCAATTCACCTAATCCTTCCAGCCACACTGTGGCCCTGGGGTCGACTCAGCCTCTAACAGAAATAAGTACCAGGAATATTTTTGGAATGTTGTTGGGGGTAAAGGGCGGCCGGCCCGTAGGGCTGACAACCTTACCGCCATCTATGAGCCGATTGTCTAGAAAATGTGGGAACCTCAACATCTCGCAACCCTATGGGCCTACACAGCCTGTTACAGGGCTACCTTTACTTTACTTTACCCCGCTCTTAATTAGGCCGTTCATGTCTCATATGCCCCCCCCCTCCCAAGCTACATTTCATAATCACGTTCATATCAAAACATCAGTAACAAATTTCTGAGAACTAAATCCGGAATATGCCTTTCCCCGTGCTCAACTCAGCTAGGCAAATAAATACGGCTTCAGGTTTTCGTTTATTTCACCGTTGTATATGGATACTTGAAGTCATGAAGTAGGCCATAACAAATTGCAGCAAATCCTCGTTATGAGGGACTAATAGCGCGGTGGGGGGTGTACCAGCGATGTCAGCTATAGCCGAGTAAAGTACTATTCACGAAGTAAAGCATAAGATACATAGACAATATACTCAATAAACATGGAAACATAGAGTATATTATGATTATATAAAAGTTTTATGTTGCGGTTATTTTTTTATTTTAAATAGTTTTCTAACTACAGAACTTCGTTAGTGTCTCAGCATCTCTAGAAATTTACAATTGTACACAGGCCGATTTTTTTAGTTATATCTGTGCCCGTTAGAAGGAAGGTTTACTGTATTTGAAATTTTCTATCAATTCATAATTCGTTACAATTTTCATGAAATTCTCCGTAACAGATAGTTAAAAAGGGACGTTGAATTAAATAAATGAAATGAATGCAAATATTAAATTATTTTTAATACAAAGGCGCCAAACTTTACACATACGGCCTTCTCCCCTTCTCTTGTTTTCCGCGGCGCCCGATGGAAATGACTGGTCCAAATCACACACATCAACTTGCCGAGCCTACCTGGTAGTATGGAGGCGTCATTACTACATAATTCCACGAAAGACTTACCTTTGCCTCCTCGGTGTCTCTCTTCCTCCTCCAGCATCTTGAGAACAGCAGAATTTGCCAGATTTGGTGCTGCCAGTTGGTGGAAATCAACCCTGAGGGAGATGAAACCCACAAGAAAGAATGTAAAACTTTAAACAAGGATAGATGCTGTAACTTTCACACAGGAAGGACACATCGCACAGCATTCTGCTTACAGTCTTAGTACTTGATACTCTACCTTCAATTATCTCGAATCCTCCTCCTCGATCTAGGTCACTGCACTTTCAAAACAGCTGAAGCACTAAACAGGTTCCAAGCAATACAGTACATTAACTCTCAGTTAAATATTATATAGTACAATGCAAACCGCGGAAGAGGGGAGCGGGCTATGTTTGTGGTTTCACGCCGCGGGGACCAGGAGAACTGTTACCTGCGAGGAAATTTGCTTATTTTGTTAAGAAGAAGAAACGGGCTCTCTGTCATGACCTTGCAGGCGTATAAAAACCGTGTCCCGGTGGTAATTGCACCATAGATGCATGTACCTACAGTAAACGCACACAATTACCTCTACAAAAAAAGGACCGTTAGTACACAAACAAGCATATATTAACGTCACACTTTGCGAAGTTAAAGTAACCGCCACGCGGCTTGCAAGGCCACATGCAGCTTCTGAGGTAATGTTCTGTACTTGAATTCGGGAACCAAACATTCGAACCTGAGCCGGATCACAGATTTGCTTGGCTCGTGAGTTTTGCCAGGCAAATGCTCGTGTATTACACATAAAAGACTCAATACTGCAGCCTTCCAAATCCTTACCTATTCACTATATATGATCATATTCCCGTCTTATTCTTTACATAGTCACTGACGTTTAATCAGCAGCGTTATACCATCATTCATAGAGTTAGCTTCACAGAAAAACGCTCTGTTCGCGTTTGAAAAATCTGTCGGCTCTCTCCTTATACTGATTTATTTCCATATCTGTAGGACGGGTGGGGTCAGTTTCTTCTAGGGCCTATAGAACGGGTAACCTCACGAGAAAATCTGTGCAGGACTCTGACCGTCCTGATCATTCTGTGTGGCTTTCATCTTCCTTCCAGCCGATTGTCTTCGCCAGTGCCTAGAAACAGTAAATGAAGGCTTCCTCCTTCGCCCACGCATATTTAAATAATCACTATTATCAACAAGGTTCAGCACTAAATACTATTTTCAGCTGAATAGGCATATTTAATTTACACATGAACCCATAACTAGTCTGCATGAAACCCTTTCCGAAAACAATGGCCTTAATTTTTATACTTGCATAATCTTCTTTCCGCATCAGACGCTTAGTAAGGAGACTGGTCTAGAAATAAACTCGGAGAAGACTGAAGATATGTTCAGGTTTCGTCACTAGAGCGCACAACAAAACCGTAACGCACAAATAACACGACAGAATATAAATTATTTTCCAAATAATTTCATTATAACAATTCATAACTTTGTCTACTGTCGTTACGAACATATCTGACACATTATATTCTCTTTAAAATGGGCTACATACTGGTCTGTTGAAGTTTAATATAGTGATTTTTTAGTTACAATATGCATAAATACATTGACACAATCCGTTTTTCGAGATCAGTGCACCAATAATCTTGTAAGAGACACGTATACAACAAATGTTGGGACGAAAAATGTCGTTTATCGTAACAATTTTGAAGTTGATCTGAAAACGAGGCAATATTTGCACCACATCTCAATTTCTGTGATGGCATTGCCATGCTTAAACGTATGAGGCTTCGTGTTGTAATTTTAGATTTGAAACTCACCCAAAGACACAATTTACTCTTATATTTACCACAGGTTGGAACTTCGCTCTGCTGAGAATATCCACTTGGCTAAGATCCTGAGGAAGCAAGTCGTAATATAAAGGTACTGGGGTTCGAACCCACCACACAGCAACCGAGACAACTATCGTTTGAGGCTCCCGCTTCCCGACTGCGTTGTCTTCTCCCCACTCTGTAGTTGCTGGCAAACCGAGCGCTCCTCTCGGCTTGGGGACGTCTCGAAAAATTATATACGCCCCCCTTTCGCTAAGGCCTCATGAGAACTGAAATACCCCATATACTGGCGCGCTTTTTTTTCTTCGCTGCCAAGTATGAATGGCCTTCGTAATTTTCTCGTCATTTTAACGTAGAGTGGAGAGTTGGATAATTAGCTGTGTAGTTAATCGCTGTTTTTACATGTACTACTTCTGTTCGGGAAGTACCCGTTTCTAATCAGGACATGGACTATCCTTACAAATGTTTCTTGGCTTCTCTCACTATCTATTGGCAAATACCAGGATAAGACCTCAAATAGGCCACGACCGCTTCCACACCCTTTCATTACATTCTGCTATTCCACCACTCAACACAATATAGTCTGAGACACAGTGTCGTTAATTATACTTAAATAAATAACTAATACACACCATTGGGTTATTAACAGACTTTGATTTTTAGGTCGTTTAACGAAGCTGTTTCACTAAATAAAGTTATGATTACTAAATAAATAAATAAAGCTAAGATGGAAGTTGCATACAGCACACATGAGTGGATTAAAAAATGCATATGAAAGTTTAGTCGTAAAACTCAGAGAAAATAAACAACTCGGGAGATCTAGGAGCGGATGCGAGGATAATATTAAAATGGATCTTTTAGAAAAATACGAGTAGTGTGACTTGTGGCCCGGATTTAAGTAGTCAAATATAATGTCCAATAGAGGTCTCTTTTGAATACGACAATAAGATCTCCACTTTGACGAAAAGAATGAATTTCCTTCACAATTTTAAAGATTATTATTTCCCTGATTATTTTAAAATTAAATATGGATTAAATTTTAGTTCTGTTGGCTTCTTCATGAAAAGTGTATAACTTGAAGTGAAAACAAATAAAATGAACGCAAGGATGACTAATACTAGACCAGCAAGTATCAAGAAAAAGCTACCCGCCATTTATTCACATGTCACGGGTTTTTCATAGTCCCTACGTATAAACTGCAATAGCCGCGATGGCTCAGTCGGCATAGCGACGGGCTATGGGCTGGATGTTCGGGGTTTCGATTCCAGGCACAGGCAAGTATTTTTCTCTTCTCAACAGCGTCCAGACCGGCCCTGGGGTCCACTCAGCCCCTATCCAATGGGTACCGTGGGCTGTCACCGACCCGACCCCCGTCTGATGCCGAGTCAAGAAAGGTGGGCTATACATCCACTCCCTCATGTGTCTTCATGGCAAATATTGCCTTCGGCCCGTGTTGCTGTGCTTACTGAGGACAAAGGGGACTTTAAGTAGGCCAGATGAAAAACTGTTAATTAGAAAATGTATTTAAGAATTAAGAAAATTATATGCATGCCATCAGAGTTCTATTTCTCATGCTGTTTTGCGTGTAGGCTACGGTATGGGCGTGACTGGCGCCACGGACAAGCGTTATCAAGTAGTTCTCACGTTAAATTGTACTTTCTAGTTCGTTGTACTGCTCTGCAGCTTACTGTTCTGGTCTGAGGTGAAGTACAGGTAAAGTTGTCCCTGTGCTTAACAAATTATTTTAGGCACTACGCCATGAAGACATAAGGGGGAGTGGTTCTATACATCCACTTATTCTTGACTTCGACTTTAGGTGGAAATGAGTAGTCACCTTCACGCCCGGCCGCTTTACTCCAAGGAAAGATTCCCCGGTACCCACTGGATAGGAAAGTGAGTGGGTCCAAGACCCAGTCCGAAGGACGTGAAGACTAGAAGACATTGCAAGAACCGGGATTCGCTATCCGACACCTCGGTCGTCCAATCGGTAGTCAGTCGCTGTACCGACTGAGCTATCCCGGCTCCCCTATTATTTTATTCTACGAAATTTAATGTAACTTCTAGTGACAAAATATCTAATGCATTAATATAACCCGAAATAATATTTCACCTCACCCTGGACGCCATTTCTATCTTAACCAGGCTCGCAGGTTTCCGAGAATAAACTGATTTATTTTCTCGGGTATCTCATCTCTATATGCACATAGGCAACGATGAAAGAAGGCTTCCTTGTCGATGACTGAATGTTAATCTTCGAAGGCCGAATTCTTCCTCTAGAGTACCGATCTTAGTACAGGAATGGAATTAAGGCATCATAAACCTACTCAATAAATGGAAGTGATGATAAGCACCATGCTTCGGCTGCATTTACCCAGTTTCCAATTAGCTGTGAGATCAGATGGACCACAGAGCCGATTTAGACGGCTGCTCGGAATCGAACCCCAATCCACGGTAATGTAGTAAGTCAGTAAAACATTTTTCCCACTTGCACTAAAGTTATGACTGGGCACTCCGCCACGAAGACATTCGTGGGAGTTGCGGTATTGCTTATCACCAGGGCCCGGATTTTGATGACATGTCATCTTTTTTCCCTTGTATCCATGCTATGCTCTTAAATATAAAAATCTCGGATATGAGTTGCTGGTTACAGAAATGTAAATTTTATAGGTATTTTTTGTCATTTTTTGACATTTTTAGTTTTAAGGTCATTTTTTCACTTTGGGGGTAATTTTTTGGTAAATGTTTGGACTTTTAAGGGTATTTCTTGTCATTTTTGGCCATTTTAGGGAATTTTTCTTCATTTTTTCTGAAATGTGAATAACATGGAAGCGAAGTGTTCTTTGTCTTTCTCCTTTAGGCCATTCTTCTGGATTTTTTCGGTCATTTTTTAAATATTTTCAGGTCATCAAAATCAGGGCTCTGCATATTACATTTTTGGGTCATATTTTAGGCCATTATTCTGGATTTTTTCCGTCGTTTTTTAAATATTTTCAGGTCATCAAAATCCGGGCAGAATGGGGCCAAGATCCGGTATGAACGCTGTGGAAAAGAGAAAAATCTCTTGCTCTTGCCGGGAACCGAACACCGACTCCTCGACCATCCAGCCCGTATTCCTGTCACTATACGGACTGAGCTATTCCGGCCACATTCCGACTTCTGATTTTAAACGTTCGTGAAGATAAATCATGCCTTGTGATTTGCTATTATCCTATTCACCAGTACAGAAACAATAGGCATTTTACTTAGCATCGCGTTTATGGATGTTTGTGAAATTTATTTAAGGAAAGAAA